GATTAGTCATCACCAACTGTAGCTTAATTCAGAGTGTATTCCACATGTCTGCGGAGGCCTGTGGTCACCTGGCAGCCCAGAGGATGCAAGACCAAATCCCTGAGAGATGGACCCCAGACTTCCGCTGCTAACTGAGAGAGCAAAAGTCTGTGCCGCCTAGTTGGCAGGGTCCCTTCGCAGGCTGATAATGCACTTCTTAGAAACCTGAGCTGGCAAAGGACCATGGTTAGAAACCTTCCCATATAGAAAATCTTTGCATTATATTATATTTGGATGTGTTGATGCAGCTCAATGTATGAATCTGCTGTCACCTCCCATAATAATTTGAGATGGATTTTTAATATTATTTTACTTTTTTTCTAATTATAAAAGGGGTAGGGATAAATTAGGAGGTTGGGATTAACATCTACACACTACTATATATTGAATAGATAACCAACAAGGACCTACTGTACAGCACAGGGAACTATAATCAGTACTTTGTAATAACCTATAAGGGAAAAGACTGAAAAAGATATATATGTATACGTATGGATAACAACCACTGTGCTGTATACCTGAAACTAACATGATATTATAAATCAGTTATACTTCAAATAAATAAAAGTGAAACAATAAAATAAACTCAAACTGTAAAAAGGAAAAAGAAATCCACACTCACAGTAGAAAACTTCAAAAGCCTAAATAGTACAGAAGAATAAAACAGTTCCCATTTTCATACCTTTTGTTGGATTTGGTTGTATTTATTCCATCATTTCATTTTTATACTATTTATGTAATCCCTCTGACATAGTTGTTACCTACTGGATATATAATTTTATATTAAGCTATTTTGTTTTCACTGATGGAAAAGTCTTTAAACTGCCTAGACAAAGTACATTGAAGATTAAAGATAAATGGGAAGAGAAATTGCCATGGGCATCCCATTCTGGAGACGGTATAATGAAGTGGAAATCCACTGGTTAAGGGAATTCTTCACTTGCCTCCCTGGTTACCTGTCTCAGCCCTCAAACCTCAACTTACCACCTGGCTAGGACCAGAAAACCCAAGTGGAGGTACAGGTTCTGCAGTTTAGGGCCCCTGAGCAGTTGGCTCTACGGGCTTCACTTTCTTCATGTCTAGATCAAAATACAAATATAGATATTCTCCAAGGCACCTCACAAGCGCAAAAGTCTATGCTTTGTATTTAGGGGCTAGAGAAGGCCATGACTGTTAAATAAGACTTGTAGATGAGGATGACTGTAAAGGTCAAGCATTGATGATTGGCAAACATTAACGTTATATTTTGAGTCCTAAGTGTGGAGATGTGTTCTTCATTTAGCCCAGTAGACAGGTTCCTAAAAGGGTGTGTTAGAGTTGCTTGGAAATCAAATGATAGTGCCCAATCTTCTTACTGTATCATCCCACAGCAACTTACCTTCACCCAGTAGAACTGGGCCCAGCATAGTTTTAAGTTTTCAGATTCCTAAGCTTTCCTGTTTATTCAAAACCATTCAGTGTTTAAGAGAAAACACTACAGTTATACTTTGTAATGACCACGTCCTGGAATCTTTTCTAAATTGAATAATCACTTAATTTATCTGGGATTTAGTTTTAGAACAAAAAACTAAACAGTATGGTAATTTTACTTTACTTTTCCAGTGTGAAACATTTAGATTTCTCTCTTTCTCAAAATATATCCTGGGAAACAAAATAGGGAACTCCTTTCTTCCCTCCCTCCCTCCCTCCCTCCCTTTGTTTATCCCTCCCTCCCCCTTATGTTTTTCTTCCTTTCCTCTTTCAGCAAGTGTTTGTAGTTCTTTCTGTATGCCAGACTCTATGCCATGGATTGTCAGGTGAAATTACATTATATACATGAACCCCTGGTTTTTTTGAATTATTGGTAGAGCTGGATTTTAAAAAAACAAAAAAATAACCAACCAACTCATCAAACAAACAAAAAGACAATATCTGAAAGTCAGGGAGTACTTATCCTTTAAAAAAAAGTCTTTACGTATTACTCTCCGCGACATTAGCCTTTGTTTTTGATTCACTAATGTCTTGGTTTGGAGGGATGGTGGGACAGAGAAATTTCAGGCTAAAATGATGGACGGCATGGTTTGTTGGTAAATGCTTGGAGGGAACAAAGGAAAGTTCTACAGTGGTGACACCAGTGTCTTGTCTTACTAAAATTCAGATCACAATCAATTTTGGGGGGAAAATGACCTTTTTTCTAGCTTTATTGAAATATAATTGACACAACATCATGTAAGCTTGATGCTGATTTAATACATGTATATATTGTGAAGTGATTACCATAATAAGGTCAGTTAACAACTCTATCACTTCTCATAATTACCATTTTTTTCATGTGGTGAAAACCTTTAAGATCTACTCTCTTAGCAGTTTTCAAGTATGTAAAACACTTTTGTTAACTATAATTGTCGTGCTGTACATTAGATCCAGAACTTATTCGTCTTATAACTGGAGGTTTGACCCCTTAACCAACATCTCCCTGTTTATCCCACTCTCCATCCTCTGGCAACTACCAATCTACTCTCTGTCTATGAATTTGGCTTTTTTGGATTCCACATATAAGTGAGATCATACAGTATTTGTATTTCTCTGTCTGACTTATTTCACTTAGTAAAATGTCCTCAAGTTCCATCCGTGTTGTCAGAAGGTCTCCCTTCTTTTTTATGGATGAATAATATCCCACTGTTTGTATATACCGCGTTCTCTTTACCCATTTATCTGTCAGTGAACACTTAGGTTGTTTATTATGTCTTGACTATTTGAATGAGGCTGCAATGAACATGGAGGTGCAGATAGCTCTCCAAGGAAGTGATTTTATTTCCTTTGGATATATACCTAGAAGTGATATTGCCGGATCATATAGTAGTTCTATTTTTAATTTTTTGAGGAACCTCCATATTGTTTCCCAAAGTAGCTGTACCAGTTTACATACCCACCAATAGTGCACAAAGGTTTCTCCACATTCTTGCCAACACTTATCTCTCGTCTTTTTGATAATAGGTATTCTAACAAGTATGAGATGATAGCTCATTGTGATTTTGATTTGCATTTTACTGATGATTAGTGATGTTGAGCATCTTTTCATGTACCTGTTGGCCATTTCTTTTTTTTTTAAATATCCAGTGCTTTTTTTTTTTTAGATTTTGGGGGTAGGAGTTTTAGTTATTTATTTATTTATTTTTGCTGTGTTGGGTCTTTGTTTCAGTGTGAGGGCTTTCTCTAGTTGTGGCAAGCAGGGGCCACTCTTCTTTGCGCTGCGCGGGCCTCTCACTATCACGGCCTCTCTTGTTGTGGAGCACAGGGTCCAGACACGCAGGCTCAGTAGTTGTGGCTCACGGGCCCAGTTGCTCCGCGGCATGTGGGATCCTCCCAGACCAGGGCTCGAGCCCGTGTCCCCTGCATTAGCAGGCAGACTCTCAACCACTGCGCCACCAGGGAAGCCCTCCTCTGCCTATTTCTAAATCAGATTATTTGATTTTTTTTTCTATTGAGTTGTATGAGTTCCTTATATACTTTGGATATTAACCCCTTATCTGATGTATGGTTTGCAAATATTTCCTGCCATTTTATAGGTTGCCTTTTCATTTTGTTAGTTGTTTCTTTTGTTGTGCAGAAACTTTTTTGTTTGATGTAGTCCCACTTATTTACTTTTGCTTTTGTTGCTTGTGTTTTTGGTGTCATATCCAGAAATTCATTCCCTAGACCAGTGTCAAGGAGCAATCTAGAGAAAGAAGAACAAAGCTGGAGGAATCACATGTCCTGATTTCAAACTATATTACAAAGCTACAGTAATCAAAACAGCATGGTACTGGCATAAAAGCAGACAGACTAATAGAACAGGATCAAGAGCCTAGATGTGAACTCATGCACATACAGTCAACTAATATTTGACAAGGGAGCCAAGAATACTCAATGGGAAAAAGAATAGTCTCTTCAGTAAATGATGTTGGGAAAACTGGATATTAACATGCAAAAGAATGAAATTAGACCCCTATCTTACACCACTCACAAAAAATGAATTTGAAATGCATTCAAGACTTAAATGTAAGACCTGAAACAATAAAACTCTAAGAAGAAAATATAAGGAAAATGTCCTTTTAACCAATTGGGATCGTGTCCATCTCAGGGATGTGACCACCCCCCCACACCCCCAACACTGAAAGACACACTTGGCCTCTTTTCACTCAGAAGTGTGGTGCTTGCAAATTGCTGAGGAAAGGCTGCCTGCAGGTCAGCCTCAGAGGAGAAATTATTATCATCCTTTCTATGTACTGAGGCAGAATCTCAGTGAGTTGAGCCCCTGCCAAGTTGTAAAGGTTGACATTTACTGAAGTGAAGTGAAAAGAGCAAGAACTGGGTGGTTCAAATCCTGGCTTCAACTTCACCGGACTGCACTTCTCTGAGTCAGTGTTTATTCTGGAAAGAAAGGGATAATCATACCGATCTACCTTACACATTTGTTGTGAGAGTTATAAATAAAATAAGTTCGTAGCATGCATAGACTAGTACATAATAGACACTCAATAAATGGCATTTTTTTCTAAATTGCAGTAGCAGTAAGCATGTACCTGTTTGTCTCTCAAGAAGTTAGGAGGCAGTGCTAGACACATACCATTGGTCAGGAATTTAGTGGCTATTGTATATTTTCATCATAGACATTCATCCTAATAACTCTGCCGCGTTTAGCAAGTTTATAAGTTAGAATGCTGTAGATGAGATATCTTTAAAACCTGAACACTGTTTGCACTTTGGAATCCCAAGGCAGAGGCTCACACTGAGTTGAAAGCATTGCTAGTAATGTGTCACTCACGATATTTAGTGGGAGAGCTTACCCTCTGTTTAACTGAGACTTTATTTTCAGAGTATAATCAGGGGAAGGAGAGATGCACCGTCAGAGCTCAAGGACCCCCATTCGAAACATGCATAGATATGCCAGGTCTCTCCCACGAAAGCCTGGAGAAATCAAGTATCTCCTGTCTTCCTAGGGCTTTAAAGATCCTGTGTACCGAGCAAGACGGAAGCAATTTGCTGACATTGCCTACAGCTATCGACAGTAAGTCTGCTCTTCGGGGTGGGAGGTGGAACAGGGGGTGGGGGGCGTGAGAAGAACAACTCCTAGCCTGCCTCTCCCTCGCCCAAAGGGAAACTACCGGTGTAGAGAATCCTCCCCTCTGTGTGTGTGTGTGTGTGTGTGTGTGTGTGTGTGTGTGTGTGTGTCTGTTTAAACCCTCCCTTGAATAACACACATTTTAAAAAATCGACCACAACACAAAACAAAATTACCCTCTGTGCCAGGGCCCAGCTCTCTCCCAGGCTTTGTTGTGTAATTATGCAGGGATGTCTGAAGTAATTATAAAAGGCCTCAGTCCTGAATAAAACAGCCTCTGGTATTCTCCACATTGAACCGGAAGCTGGCAAAAGAGAATCATTTACATTCAAGAAGGAGTTGGCTGCTTTACTGAAATAGTGAATCATTGGAGGTTTCAGGAGAGCCAAGCCTCAGGGTTCTACTTTCATCTGATCTGACCCAGATGTGAAGGGCAATTTTAGGATGAGTTTATTTTTTTCTATCTGGGGTTCTGTGCTCCTCCTCTACCAGATTTCAGTCAAAGGAAAATGCAAATGTCAAATATGTTATTTGGGATGAGCACCACTTTGCTATTTTGAGTCCTCAGAAACTACAGAAACGCGCCCATGAGAAACTCAGTGTTTTGGGACCTGAGCTCCATTCCTGAGTTAAGCGTGTGAGAAAAGACATGGCCAAGAAGAAAGGGACAGGTTGTTCAGAACACTCAGGTGATGGTATTTTAACAGCTTTGCTAGAATATGAGGGAGATAAAGGAAATGCTAGGGCTCTGTATATTGCTCTGTATATTTACTGAATAAAAGCCTACCTTCCAAAGGGAAAGACTTCCGGAGAAAATGAGAAAATTCCTTTCTCTGAATGAGTCCTGGTAGTAGAAAAATCCAGAATAGTGCAGACCTTGGTCATGTCTAGACCCAGGTGGGTCTTGGCTTGTGGCAAGCAGGAATCACAGAACATGGTGACCTCTCTCCCCTGTCCCCACCGTGGCCCCAGCATGGACAGGTAGACACCATCAAATCAGGTACAGACAAGAGTCCTTCTTGAGATAGTCAGTAATAATAGGTCATATTTATCGTCTCCTTGCTATGTCTGGGGCTTTGCTAAATGCTTAGTTTACATTATTTCATTTAGTTTTAATAATAACTCCCTATTTTTCAGGTGGAAAAACTGAAGCTTAAAAAAGATTAAGTAACTTGCCAAAGTTATAGAGCTAGTAGGTGGCATAGTCTGGTTTTGAACGCAGGGTTGTTTAAATGCAAAGTTGTGCTCAGTCACTTCCCTGAGTGTCTGGGGATCTCTGAGTCAGGAGACCACACTTCTCCACATAATCCAGGAGCTGCTCACGAGATACATTCACTCCTTCTTGGCTGTTGGGATTTGAAGGGAAGAACTCAAATCCACCTCCTTTCCATAAAAATGTTACACCTGATGAAAAAGTATGGAATTGGTTGCATGCCTCATGATTCTGGATGGTCATCAGAGAAGTTAAACTGGCTTTTGAAAACTATTCATAGATGGCTGGTACTCAGAGGAATACCAGAGATCTTCCAGTCAATTTTCTACCTTGTACAGATGAATCCCAAATGGTTAAGTGATGTACTCAAGGTCATATATCTCATTAGGGACTGAACTTGTCCTCCAATTCAAAGCCTATTTCCAGCCTCATCTCAGCTCATCTCTTTTGAACTTTTGATGCTGTTTACTACCCCTTCCTTCTTTGCAATTGTCTTTTATCTCGGTATCTGGTACAATTGATTCTCATTCTTTCAGGATTGCTCGCTTGAATTTATTTGAGACCCCCAAACTCAGGGCACTTTCACACTCATTCCCAGACATGCGCAGAGCAGGGGAAAATGTGAGTCCCCTGCCACATCTGTTGAATTTTTGTTCTTTTTGTCAGTAATTTTGCTGTTTAAAATGGCCCTCCAGCGTAGTGCTGAAGTGCTGGCTAGTGTTCCTAGGTACAGGACGGCTCTGACACGCTTGATGGGGAGAATGTGTTAGATACGCTTCCTTCAGGCCTGAGTTGTTGTAGTGCTGTTGGCTGTGAGTTCAGTGTGAATCTATCAACATGTACATTAACCAAGGTGTCTGCGCCAATAAGGAGAATCAGCTGTACTCTGCTCTCTGCTGGTTTCCCTCCTTCCTCTTTGAGGCTTCTTCTCAGTCTCCTCTGGCCTCCTCCTCCCACCCCAGAAATTGTCATGCGTCTCAGGACTCAGCTTTGACCCTCTTCCTTGGGCTCTGCCACCCTCCATGCCAACAGCCCCACATTCTGGTCTCCAGCGCCTTCCCAGTCATCCTACCACATGGGGCTCAAACTCCTGCCCCTTGAGTCCTAGAATCACAGGATCAGTTGATACAGTGTGTTTACTGTGTTCCAGGACCCATGCCAAGAACAAGACCAACAGACTCTGTGTCTTCTGGGGGATCATTGAGAAAGACAGACAATAACAAAAAGAACAATAAATGCAATAGGTATGACTAAAGTCAAAACACAAGGGTCATGAGGCCACAGGCTTTTGTTTTATTAGTAGTTGTATCAGTATATATTTGGGGCCAGAGCTGAATTACTGGAGACAGTAAGGAAGCAGCTAAACCCTGCTCCTGTTTGCCACCCTCTTCTAGGCCCATCTACCGTGTCATGCTTTGACGCTCCTCCAGAAGAATATTTAACAAAAGTCTTAAAACATCACTTTGAAGAGGCACTGATTACTGTTGTGTTTTGCGGGCACCAAATTATTTGTCCTGGTAATAATTCCATGTGTGGGGACTTGGTGTAAAATAAGACTGAGTGAGGAAGGCTATGCCAGGTGCTGGAGTACCTTGAATGCCATCTTTGGTTGGTGGAATAATTCAAAAGCAGTGTCTTCTCCTTAAAACTTGTTTTTTGTTGTTGTTGTTTTTGGAAGAGGGATCCTAATGGGCTGAACTAGAAATCCTTTTATTTCAAGCCAAATTGATACTCTTCCCAAAAAATCTTAGTTTATTTTACTTAATGAGATCATAGTTTTAAAAAATTAATTGACGATATATTCAGAGACTGAGGATCTTGTAGAACCTCAGGTCTCTTGGTAGAAGGAGATGGAAAAAAGGTGCTGAGTTCAATTCCTAAGTAGACCATGGAAGCTGGGGTGTGTGTGTGTGTGTGTGTGTGTGTATAAAACTAAATTCTGAAGTATTTACTATATCCAGACAGCACTTCACACATTGCTTACTTGATTATCACTACAATGTTACTAGGTAGGTTTGATTATCCTTAATTTGAAAAAAAGTATATAGATACAGATACAGGTACAGATATAGATATAGATATCAGAGAGTGGCAATAACTTGCCCAAGGTCTGACACAGCTGGGAAGCTGCAGAGTTACAGCTCAGATTCTCCTGCCTCTTCCCAGAAAAGCAGGGACCCCTGGGCCACTCACGTCTAGGTTGGGATGAGCTGCCCCAGGAGGCATGTAAAGAGCACAGAGCTGTCACTGCCCCAGTCTGTAAGGATGGGGGCTGTCAGGCTGAATCTGCAGGATGTCTGAGTCAGAACCTCAAACAGGCAAGTGCAGGTGAAAGGAGGGCTCCAGAGTGAACCCTCACCTCCTTGGGTCTTTATTCAAATGGCACCTTCTCAGCCAGGTCTTCTCCAATGTCCCATGTAAGACTGAAACCCCTCCCTAACACTCCCCGTAGGGACCTTTGCTCTTCTTTTTCTCCCTTATGCTTTTCACCATCTAACAGAATTGTGTGGATTTTCTGTCTCCCCTGCACTAGAAATGTGGGCTCCACAGGGCAGGGATGTTTCTTTTTTGTTGTGGTAAAAATATTTAACATGAGATCTACTTTCTTAACAAAAATTTAACCATACAATACAATAATATTAACTGTAGACAATATTGTACAGCAAATCTCTAGAAATTAATCATCTTGCATAACTGAAATTTAATACCCATTGAACCACAACCTTCAGTTTTTCCCTCCATTCAACCTCCATTCAACTCTCTGCTTTGTGTGTCTGACTCTTTTATGTACCTCATGTAAGTGGAATCACGCAGTATTTGTCCTTTAGTGACTGGCTAGTTTCACTTAGCACGATATCCTCAAAGTTCATCCATGTGTTTGCATGCGACAGGATTTCCTTCTTTTTTAGTGCTGAGTAACATTCCATTGTAAGTGGTAGGGATTTTTTACTGTTTTGTTCACTGCTATATTCCCAGAGCATCATGAGTGTTCAATAAATATTTGTTGAATGAATAAATGAATGCGTGAACCTAAGAGACCACATGGTAGTAAAGATTCAAAGCGGTAAGTCAGAGATGGAGCTGGGAATTGTGCCTAGAACCACCTAGAAGGCAGCTGCAGCAGGTTTGGATTATGTTACTGGGGTGGGGGTTAGGCTTTAAAATTTTACGTAAGAATACGCTAAATGGACTGTAGGGATTTATATCTTTCAGCTGCAAGTCAACTCAAACAAAAAGGAGGCTTTTCTTGGCTCCTATAAGTGAAAAGTTTAAGGGAAGTAGCTGGGGCACAGGTGGGCCTGGGACTCCGCATCTCATTCTCTCTCCCTCCCCCGACTCTGGTTGTCCTCTGTAGGGGGCTTGCTCAGAGGCACTGGCCTCATGTCTCTTGGAGGTGGACCCCAGCACCGCCAGGCTGACACCACAGCCCAACCAGAGATTCTGTCTCTTTTCAACAAAATCAACAAAAGTTCTCTCATTGAGTCTCATTGGCTCTCATCAGGACATGGGCCCATCTCTCAGCCAGTCGCTGTGGCCAGGGAAATGAGACACTCTAATTGACTGGGCCTGGTCACATGCCCACCTCTGAAGGTAGGAGTAGTGGAGTCTCCTCTTACCTGAACCTGCAGACTGAGATGGGAGAATGGTGCTTTACTGGAAGAATGGGAATGGATATTGAACCCCTGGCACGGTAAATATCAACCAGGGGGACAGCTCGGTGCCTAGGACGTTACTAACTCTTGAAAATTTGTTGCAGAAATAGCAGATACCCTTCTTTCTAAATGAGAGTCCATTATCATGATAATTGCCAACTATCCAATGGTATTATTGTCAGCACCAGTGTTACGTACTTTATACATAGCATTTCTTTTCTTTTTAATTAAAAAATTTTTTTTTAATTTTTTAACATCTTTATTGTATACATAGCATTTCAGTTAACTCTCTTCCGTACCCTCCAAAGAGTTAGTTGGTATTAGCCCACCTAACGGCTGTGCAGACTAGGCTCAGGGAGGTTTACTAAATTGCTTGAGGCCATTCAGCTAGGCAATGGCGAGCAAAGCAGTCAACCCATCTCTGTCAGTTTCCAAAGCCTGTTCTTTCCCTGCATTGGCACTTAGCCCTGAAACAATGGTGCATCCATAGGCAGGGGCTTTCCTGATGTTCTTTTCACAGTCCCTACGCCATTATAGAACCCTCTGGGCTTGTGTTGCTTTCAATTCTGAAGCAACGGTCTGTCTTTTTTCCCTAATCCCTGCCCATCTTTCCGTGGAACATAACGATGACTTTGCTTTAATGTCCTTGGAAGAGCGACAACTCTGAAAGGGCAGGAGGGACCTAGTTTGGAGCCTGAAGATGATCCATAATTCTAAGGTAAACAGTCTCGCCTTGTCCCAGACACCGTGTACCCTGTTAGGAAACAGGCCTGTAGCCCAGAGAACAGTCACGGGTCTTTGAAGTCAGGCTTTGTTTGGTTTTCATTTGTTTTCGCTGTTCAGAACACAGCTCACTCTTAGATGGTTTTCAAAAGGACCTTTCGAACTAATGACTCTCAAATTACAGTGTGTCACCTGGGAGCTTATTGGAATCCAGATGCCTGGGCCCTCCCCTCCCCCACAGGTTCCGGATCTGAGGGGCAGGTCCAACATACATACTTTAATAAGCTCCCCATACTTTTGTTATGCCATAGCGGAAGATTCTAGGTAAGCAGATCTTGCACCTAGCATGCATTTAAGTACCTTTATAACTTCCTAGGGGCAGAAATATCAAATCCAGCAAGTACATGCCCATTAAACAAGGGATCTCAAACTCATGGTACACATATTAAATCCACTTTAGCCAACAGGTAGAATTGCTTTAGTTTGCTTGAACTTGGATGCCTTTGTTTAGAAAGAGGATGTAGTCTTCACTTGACTCAGCCTCCGCCCTCCTATTATATGTACCTGTTACTTCACACATTTGTATTACAGGCTCCCGAAGGTAAGTGAATTTCCACACTGGGTAAAGAATAGGAGATTGGAGAGCAGAAAAGCCAAGTGGTTTCCCAAAGTGAGAGGAAATCCTTGGTGCAGTGGACGAGGTGAGAGCTTGTATCCTTGCTTAACCAAGTCACGTGAATGTTTGCTATATCAAGAAATGGAATTTTCCTCTTTCAAATCACTTATGAAATATGAAATCCGCTGTGGCTGGGGGCGGCAGCTCACAGACTCTGAACCCGTCTCCCTCTGCAACGGCTCCTTCATCCTCTACTCCTGCACCTGCCCTGCTGCAGACAAATATTTCATGTCTGTATCCTAGTGGGCAGCCCATCCCTCGAGTGGAATACACGGAGGAAGAAAAGAAAACATGGGGGATAGTGTTCAGGACCCTGAAGTCCTTGTACAAAACCCATGCTTGCTACGAGCACAACCACATTTTCCCACTTCTGGAAAAGTACTGTGGCTTCCGCGAAGATAACATCCCCCAGCTCGAAGAGGTTTCTCAGTTTCTGCAGAGTAAGTCCACATCAGGGTCAAAAGGTCGGTGTGGGGAGGATGGGGAGGGGAAGAAAAGTAAATGGAGGTGAGTGTGTTCATGCTGATGCAGGCAGGTTCCTTGTCCCAGGAAAACCGGGATTGCACAGGCTCCGGACGCGCAGGCTCAGCGGCCATGGCTCACGGGCCCAGCCGCTCCGCGGCACGTGGGATCTTCCCAGACCGGGGCACGAACCCGTGTCCCCTGCGTCGGCAGGCGGACTCTCAACCACTGCGCCACCAGGGAAGCCCCCGAAAGGATTTTTTAACACTCAAAGCCCAAGGTGCCTCGTCCAGGTTCTTCCTGCAGCTCCCGCTACGTTATGAGCTGGCTGCAGTGTGCGTTTGTGTAAGAAAATGAGATTTGTGTCGAGATACCTGAGCTCTAAGTCTATGCATCTGGTATCTGGAATCTTGCTTTGATCCTCTCTAGTTGGGAGAAACTACCTCAGTTTAGTCATCTGTCAAATGGAGACTGTCAGCCTTTTAGCCTTTCTCCTAGGGAAACTGTGAGACTGAAATAAGATATTGAATGTGAAAGCATAGTGTTACCTAGTGTTACGGTAGGTGCTCATTGAATTTGGGCTTCGCTGGAATCTGAGTAACTCAGTGGGTAAATTTGTGATCGGGTTGACCTGCCCATCATTTCCAGGGGAGATAAATGTTTTCCTTTCTGCCAGGTGGTGTTGACTCAGCAAAATCAAAATAAACAGACAAAACATATTAAACGTCTATTATGTGCCAGGTAAAATGAGGGAAAGTGGGGATACAGACCACAGGGTTATAGAAAGAGTTTTCCGTGCCTCTGAACTATGCAGAGATGCTATGGCCAGCTCTGGGGCAAAAAGCCAGGGAAGCTACGTGGCAGGGAGGCAAGTGGTAGCTAGGATAGATTGGGAGAGGGGGCGGCTAGATGACCTTTTGAATTCCTTCCGTTTAGAGTCTTTACTTCTCAGATAAAGAGAGGAGGGGGTGGGGGGGGCCAAGCAGAATGAACTTCAGCCTGAGGGTCTAAGGCACGTAATCGGAGGGACAAAGCGGTCTTAAAGACATTCTTTGAATAATTACCCACGTTGCTATGGCCAATAACAAGAAGAATACAGCAGTAATACTAGCAGCTGGGGAGGTATAGAGTAGCAATTAAGGAAACAGACTCTGAAGCCAGACTGCCGGTAGCTATGACCTTGGGCAGGAGCCTTAACCTCTGTATGCCTCAGCTTCCCCATCTATAAAGTGGAGATAATAAGAGCATCTACCTCCTAGAGTTAGGATGAGGATTAATTAGTATAGGATGAGGATTAATTAGTATATATAAAGTGCTTAGAACTGTGTCTGACATGTGGTAGGTATTGTATAGTGTTAGCTATGATTACCATGATCACTGTCATTAGTATTCTCCTTCCAGGTTTGGAACAAATTGAGAGACAGATATAGGAACCAGAGAGATGGGTGATCAAAATGTCAGCTGTATTACTGATAGAAGCTTCTTAGAGAATGTGGTATAGTTGTGCAGCCAAAATGGATTTCCTAATATTTCACCCCTGGATTAGGTAAACTTACTTGCCAATTCAGTGGTGCAGTGTGTAGTCCATTGCCTGGGCCAAGAGCAGACCAGGAGCTCCTGTGTGGATCGTGAAGAGAGAAAGGGCAGAGAGGGTTAAATTGAGAATATTCATTTCCTCTTCTCAGATCCTTCAATCAGAGAAGTCACTGTTCCTCATGGGGTGTCCTGTGTGAAGCACATATAGAAAAGCTAGAGGTGTTCCTTTCATACTCTTCCGTCTTGGGAAGTGGAGTGAAAATTCCCTCCCCACTCTGGAAACATGAGAAGTAGGGAATAAGCGTTCCACCCTAACAAACAATAATGAAAGCTAGATTTATTGGGTGTTTCCAGTGTGCTAGGCTCTAAGTATTTTATATTTATTAGGTCTTCTGATTCTCAGACTAACCCTAAGACGTATCTACCCACATTTTGCAGATGAGAAAACTGAGGCTCAGAGAAGTGAAACTCTTTGACTCAAATCACCCAGCTAGAAAGTACTGGGGCATAGATTTGAAGCCAAGTCTGCTTGGCATCGACACCCATGCTCCTGGACAGTTGAGTGTACTGGTTCCCTCCCTAAAGGTCTTCAGGCCCTTTTGGCTCCCTGTGATGGGCTTTCAATTTTCTTTCTCCTTTGCTTCCCAGCTTGTACTGGTTTCCGCCTCCGACCTGTGGCTGGCCTGCTTTCCTCTCGGGATTTCTTGGGTGGCCTGGCCTTTCGAGTCTTCCACTGCACTCAGTACATCAGACATGGGTCCAAGCCCATGTATACGCCTGAACCGTGAGTATCGTCCTTCTGCTATCGGTTGCCAGCCACGGTGGGTGCCATCTCTCCCCCCTCCAGGTACACCGTGGGCTGGTCCGTGGAACCAGTTGCCTGGATGACGACAGTACGAGAAGGGAAACTCATCTCTTCTGGGGATTTTCTCTGTCCCAATAGATTGTACTGATTGGAGATTTAGGTATCTTGTGACTCAAAGGTTCAGATCTCCTCTGAATGAGAGAATGAGAGCTCACATTCAAATGCCAAAGGGACGGTAGAAGTCAGAGCTGTGAAATGCCCAAGGGGAACAGGAACAAGTGATGACCAGGCTGTCTCAACACCTCCTCATCCCTGAATCACACCTAGATGGAGATAGCTTTTAAGATTCCTCCCAGCTTTACACTATGAGAAAATGGCCAAGGCATCAGAAGTGTAATTGTTTTGTCTTCTCTGTGTATATCTTTTTATTTTTTTTCCTTTTTTTTTTTGTGGTACGCGGGCCTCTCACTGCTGTGGCCTCTCCCGTTGCGGAGCACAGGCTCCGGATGCGCAGGCCCAGCGGCCATAGCTCACGGGCCCAGCCGCTCCGCGGCACATGGGATCCCCCCAGACCGGGGCACAAACCCGTGTCCCCTGCATCGGCAGGCGGACTCCCAACCACTGCGCCACCAGGGAAGCCCCTAGATGATTCTAATCTCTCTTTGCCTAGATTGTGTCTTGGCTGGAGGTAGTGAATGACTGGCCACCATGCTTTTAGCCATCTTCTTAGTCAGATAGAACTTAAGCAAGTGATATGACAAGTCAGCAGGTTGCCCCAAATGATCTTTCTCAGCCTGCAAAGTTCATTACTATAAACCAGAAAAGACCTGTTCCTAATAAACCTGGTGCCGAAAGTGTTAAATAAATGTTAAGTTTTCTTCTCTGACCAACGGCTGCCCTCTCCAGAATGAGAGGACTCTGTTATTTTTATTTCTATTATTATTTAGTTCCCATGAGGAATAACTAACTGAGCATATTGTATCTGCCCAGGGATGTCAATACCAACGAGAAGACGTCAGACAGGAAGTGTTTGTGATCCACAGCTCGCGCAGGCGTATGGGAGGATGCTCATAGGAATATTGCCTCTTTTGTTCTGCATCCCACTGGGTGTACACCTAAGACCCCCTGGCTGCCGTGCCCTGCCCTGTCCCTTACTTTTCTTTCCCCTTCTCCCTTTTCTCTTGTACCTTGTCTCAACTGATCCCAAGCTTTACACACCACTTATTCTTAGGAATGAGTTTGTAAGACTGAATGAGTTGCTTCCTTTCTTCCACCCATTCCTCACATAGAAAGACTGAGTCTGTCATGGCTTATAACCCTCCTCCCCTCCAAGCTCTGTGCTTTCTGTTTTTCAGTGACATCTGCCATGAGCTGTTGGGACATGTACCCTTGTTTTCAGATCGCAGCTTTGCCCAGTTTTCGCAGGTGAGGAACTGATCTCTCTAGCCTTCTACTTACAGGGGTGAGACCTGGACTGCTCAAGAGAAATTGAATCCATGGAGGGGCCTTCATGTCCTCTGCAAGGGTAGAAACCAGGTACAGTTCTGTGATCCCGTCACAGATGGGTATGTGGTCCCATGGAGCTGGCCAATTGCCAATCCCAGGGACCACAGCATGGAATTGGTGACTCAGTCATCCTCTGAATTGTGTGTTATTGACTTAGCTAATCCCACTTGTCCTACCAGGTGTAGTTTAAGAGCCTTTTCATCCATGAAAACCTCCCTGATCCCCATGCAGAAGTACTCTTACCATCTCCCAAGTTCTCCGGGCATTTTTTCCCCCGTCCTCTTTAGGGCCTTTGCCACTTTCTACCCTGTCAGGCAGTCAGTTTTGTATATGCTTTAACTAAGTAAGATGGCATTTGACAAGAATCCAATGCCAATAGCCTGACTCATAGCTGACAAAAAATAAAGAGCCAGTTGCCTCGTCACCGTCATCAAAGCAGCAGTCGAGGCTTTGATTCATCTAGCACAGTGGTGAGCAGGCTCGAAAATGCGTTTTGGATGAGTGAAAGGATCCTAGTAAGTCTCTCCTGGCACTGAGAGGCAGCCCTAAACCATGACTGGGTAACTGCGATCATGAGAGAGTTGAATGGTGCTGCTGCGGGGCACGTTGCCAGGCCCTCCTGTGCCTGGGTCACAGAGACAGAGACGTGTATCAATGAAAGCCCTCCCTGACAGTTTACTTCCTCACAGGGAAGAATAAGGATCAAATGGAATGACCCATGAGCAAGGGCTGGGCCACGTGTGTGTGAATTTCACAAGCATTTCCCCTCAGCAGAAAGAAATAACTATTTGCACTCTTGAAGGAACAGGCTACCACTGAGTAGCTGAAACAAACTAACAAACAGAAAGCAGAATTAACTGCTTGCTAACCAAGGGAAAACTACACTTGTTAGACACTGCCTCTCTAAACAAAGACAATGGCTGCTTTTATGTGGGTTTTGGGGGATTGTGAAGTTCAGAGATTGTTGGACTTTTAGAAGTGGGAGTGTTTAGAAATTAGGTGAACTTTAACCGTGGAAGTGTCACCATGGGACTGAGGCTATTTGCCCACCCACTTTCAGAAGTGCGGTTCCTGCTGCTAAGATGTCATTGATTGCTTGGGATAGCTTTCAAACCAGAATTTGTTAATATGGCCAAAGGAAGATCAGTTTTTTCCTCGGGGAATAGGAACTTTTAATTCTCATCACCAGAGGTTATTCTGCCCAGTCAGAGGCCAAGTGGCCATTCTCCCCAAGCCGGTTCCATTTTGGGGACTCCCCACAGAAGGACAATTACCTGAGTCAGCAGACAGAAGCTACTGGGTCATCAGTGTTCACGGTTCCAACTTTGACCTGGACAGTTCCAAGGCAGGGAGTCATTTTGAGTTCCCTGAGCATATTCCTTTTTGATCTAAAAGCAGGACACTGGAGTGCAGGATGGAGTGGGGATGAAGCACTTTGGGCCCCTTGTTTTAGGCAAGATCTGGGCTCACAAATAATGGTAACTATGAGAAAAGGGCACTCTTTCAATCTTGCATTTGTCTATGACTTCTGTTCGATTCAGGACTGTGGCATGTCTGAGCTGGGTGGATGAAACACAGATGGGGAAGGGGCAGGAGAATGGAGCCAGGCTAAGTCAGTGTCTGAATTTGATTCACTCTAAATCAGACAGCATTTTCTTTGCATGTAATGGGCTTGGCCAGGGAGGGATACAGAAATGAAGACCATGTAGCCTCTTGCTTCCAAGTGGGCCTGGTCCTTGGTCCTTCTCTCTGTCTGCTTTAAGTACCATCCAATTTCATGGCTTTAAGTACCATCTCCACTCTGATGATGAACATATTTATATATCTAGCCCAGACTTCAATCCCAAAACTGAGACTTACATATCTAACCATCTACTCAATATCTCTGCTTGGATGTCCAATGGACATCTCTATTCATCCTGTCCAAAATGGAATTCCTGATCTTCCCGCTCAAACCTCCACCCACAGCTCTTCCTGTATTAGTTCATGGCAACTCCATCCTTCCAGTCGCTCAAACCTAAAGCATTATTGACTCCTCTCGGACATACCCCACAATCAATCTTGCATAAAATTCTGTGTTTGACATCCAAAATATGTAGAATCTGACCATTGCTCATCACATCCACTGCTACCAATTTCATCTCAGCCCTATCGCTTCTCATGCTGGTGACTGCAGTATCCTCCTAACTGGTCTTTATGCCTCTACACTTGGCCCCCTACAGTCAACTCTCACACAGCAGTCGGAGTGAATCTTTGATGGCACAGATCAGATCTTGCCACCCTTCTGTTCAAAACCCTGCCTTGGCTCCCCATGTTGTAGAGAGGAGAATCCTAAGCCCTAAAAGAGCCAAGGAATTCCTACATGGTTGAGCTGCAGATCCCTCTTTGCTGTCACCTGCCACCCCTACCCCTTACTCTGCTCTAGCCACAGTGGTCCTTCCCGTTGTTTGAACCAACCAACATTGCCCCTCCTTCACGAGCTTTTCCACGGGCTGTACACTTGGCCTGCACAATGCTCTCCCCTCAAATATCAGCGATGCCAACAACCTCTCTTCCATCAAGTCTTTGCTCAGATATCGCCTTCCCAATGATGCTTACCCTGGAAGCTTATTTAAAATCCCAGCCTCCCCACCCCACCCCCACTTTCCTGGTACTTCGGGTCCCCCTTGTCCTTTCCTCCTTTTGTTTATTCTTTCCAAAGAACTTACCACCTTGTAACATACCTATGTATAGGCTTATTATTTCTGTCTTTCTCTATCCACTTAGACACTATTTACAAGGTCAAGGATCTTTATCATTTGGTACACTGCCTGCCACATAGAAGGCATTTGATAAATATTTTTGGAATGAATAAATGCAAAGAAACATATATATTTGTATATATACGGTATGTCTGATACAAGGTAGACTGGAGCAAATGCTGTGAAAGAGACAGACCACTAGGGGATCCTGGATTTGGAGCTGTGATGAGAGGTGGTCCATGACATCTCAGACTCTCCAGCTATGTATATACCTGGACAGATGTCAAGCACTTCTCTGCAAGTCTCCTGTGGTGTCTTCAGGGTACATGATTAAGTCTCATCTAGTGCTCCAGGAATGTTCCACTTGAACTATTGAAGAATAATCAGGTCATGAAACTTTAGATGCCACCTATCACGTGACCTTGAGCAGGTCATCCCCCTTCTCTGTGCCTCCGTTTTCTCTTTTGCAAAGTGAATACAAAGGACCAAGTGATAGATAAAGGCTTCCCCCATTCTAGAGATCTGTGATTTTATGAAATGTGGTCAAGGAAGATTTGACAGAGCAATGAGAGTCTATCTGGGCCCTTCTGAAGGCATCTAGCCACCCATCCCTTTCCTGTGGTCAAGTACGAGGTCGGACCCAAGGGTAAAGGTTGAAGATAGGCAGACCCCAGCCATGCCAGTGACTTTGTTTCTCCACAATTACAGGAAATCGGCCTCGCCTCTCTGGGTGCCCCCGACGAGTACATTGAGAAACTCGCAACAGTAAGTTCTCTGTCTTCCTGGTGGATGGTGGCAGGGCCTCAGGTCTTTGAAACTTTGCTCCTTCCCTGAAAGCCAGGTCATTTGTGGAAAAAAATCAGAATGGCCTGGGTTACGTTTGCACGAGTGACATTTCACATGTTGACTTCTTAATGGTTCGATTGTGAAATCAACTGTATGCAGACATTTCATTTCAAACAGTGTCTTGAAAACACCAACAGTCTATAATGATAGTCCTTGAGAACCCCCTTAAGTGGGTGGGAAGCTGGATTCACAGCTTTGAAGAGGGAATATTTACTCTCTACCTTTACACTGGAGCCAGCATTAAGATCTTTCCTTTCTCAGATACCAGGTAGAAAAGGGGGTGGGCTTTCCCCTTCTAACTGAACACTTCCTTCCCCAGTGGATGTGATGGCTCATCCATTGAAGCCATGGAGGCAATGACTCTGCACAGCAGGGCTTTCCTTCCTACAGACCCGTTTCCAACTTGCGTGCATCCCTCCCCAGCCTCTCAGCCACATTTCTTATAATGTGCTCAGCTGGGAAGACGAGAAATAAAACTTTATAATGGAATTAGGGACCGCAGATGAATGCAAATATATCATGAAGATGTATCAGTTTAGAAGTTTATAAATTCAGTTTATCAGAAGGCCAAAAACTCCCAGATTCTTTCTCACTGACCAGCTGCTCTGAGACCCTGGGCAAGTGGCTTTTGTTTCCTCATCTCTAAAAATAGATACAATCGTTTATATTCTGCCCATCTCAAAAGTATATCATGAGCGTCTTGAGGGTCTGAAGAGTTAAATTTGTGTGAATGTGAGTTTTTAAATGCCAGATGCTGTAGTGATACAAAAAGCAACTTTCAAAGAAAACTGCAGAGCTTGATAGAATCTCTCACTTGTAAGAAAAAAAGAAACTCAAATGCAGAGCATCATGTTACTTGCTGTGACAATGTTAAAAATACTCATTACCAACATAGCTTCTCAAAAAAAAAAATCTTATTATTGATATACTGAGCTGGAAACAGTCTTGGGGTCCTTGCTCTGTCCTTGAGATGCTGTGCCACTGTATGCATGTAGCTTGACCTCTCTGGGCTAAAGACTTCTCATCTGTATGTGCGGAGGTCAGACTAAGTTCTGACAGCCTTCGCAGGTTTAGCATTCTCTAGTGCAATCAACGGACTTAACTAGAAACCCACACCTAATTCTCCAAGACTGTGACAATCTCTAGCACGAACTGGGCCTTGGCTTTCTCTTGGCCCTATTTAGTAGGGTGGTGCCAGAATTTCAGGACCTTATTGCCCAGGCCATTTATCTAGGGCACGTTGCACTGGGAGCTATTGAAAGAAAAGGATTTGATTTTTTGGGAGGATAAATGCAGTGACTGACAGGGTTTTAACACAGATTGTTGGATGGTGGGGATATTAAATAATAACCTCCGAACTGAGAAGGAACTTTGAGGCCAAAAAAGGAAGCAGGAAACTCCATAAAATGCAATGATGAAGTTGATTGTGGGTAACTTACACACAGGCAGGGCCAGGAGGACAACAACCCAAAGGCGTTTGCAGCCACACTCTGTGCCACGAGAGGGGTACAGGGGGGTTTAAAGGGACCAAAACTAAAGATAGAATCTGACTACTAAGGGAGAAGCATGTCTGCTCCGTCAGGAGCCAGGGTTTTTTCATCCCCTCAGGGGGTCTCATGACCATTATTCCTTGTGAGCCATTAACCATCTGCGTCAGCAAAACTTTTCATATCAGGTGAAGTTTTTATATCAGGCAAGGGTAAAAGTAGATGAGGAACTTGTCTGGTGCATTCCTTGTGAATAGGCTAAAGCTCAGTCTTGCAGAAAGGGGAGGGGTTAGGACTGCAGGCTTAGATGGAGCTGACAAAATGGAGTCAGTGTGGTTCAGCCACACAGATGATAAGATGCCCCCTCACTGATTCTATCATGACCCAATCCCCTACCTCCCCCGTGGAGCCTGATGGGATTGTCTGGTAACTCCAACCAACTTAGGGGAGCATCTCACTCTAGTTGATGCCAAAAGGCAAAAGGGGTGGAGGAGTTCCTGTCAGAGAGAGAGTTGCTTGTTGGGAGTATCCTCTGGGGGCTTCCTCAGTAGTCCTCCACTGCGTCCCATCACATCTTGCATTCAGCCAACTCTTGATTCAACAGGTGACTGGCTAGGGTAAGACATAGGACACAAAACCATGACCCCAGGTCATGCTGATTCAGAGAACAGAGCTGCACAAACGCCCACCTAGGCAGTTCTGTCCTTGGCCCTGGGTCATCTGCTACGTTTCCCTTCCTCGAGGTGTGCTCTCAACTTGACGTTCCATTTCAGATTTACTGGTTTACTGTGGAGTTTGGGCTCTGCAAGCAAGGAGACTCCATAAAGGCATATGGTGCTGGGCTCCTGTCATCCTTTGGTGAATTACAGGTATGACCCTAACAGAAAGCAAGGATGGATTTGAAAGTGGTGGGTGCAGCAGACCATTCTTTTTCTCTTTGCGCTGTTGAAACCCATTTGTATTCACTTTGAAATTCAACCTGGGGGCTTCTCCTCAAGTGACTGATCTCTTAGCGGCTGTGATTTGGTCATGACTGTGGGTGTTAGAGGGAGTACACCGGTCTCCAGTGCAGAGGGGCCTCCTGAGCCCGAGGTTGAACTGTACATTGGGATATATGCAAACACATGACGGAAAATGTGGTTGACCCCCACGTTGTCTATTGATCACCTTACTTGAAAATGGTTGGGGTAAAATACTCCTTTCTATCTTGACTGCTGGCTTTAGATGAGTTATAAAGGTTATCTAGTATCTGCCTAATAATTTAGTTTACTGCATTTGGCCTGGGGTGTGGAAGGAATCAGGTTGAGATGGGAGGGGATGCGCCAATGGCCTCTGGGATAAGGCAGGGACCACCAGCCCCGATTTAACCATGAAACCTTTCCATCTGGGACCTGCAGTATTGCTTGTCAGGCAAGCCGAAGCTCCTTCCTCTGGAACTGGAGAAGACCGCTCTCCAGCAGTACACAATCACAGAGTTCCAGCCCCTGTATTACGTGGCTGAGAGTTTTAATGATGCCAAGGAGAAAGTGAGGTGAGGTGACGACCAAGGTGGGTCAACAGCTCTTGGGACCCTCCTGATTTGTCCTAGTGCCCCTGATCTCTGGGTGGTCTGGACAGTGGACTCCAGTGACTACAGCAAGGGCGTGCATCAGACCGCGTTATCTCCCAGCCTCCCCACCTTTGTCTCTTTCCACTCTCTTTGAGAGAAGTTCTTTCCTTCGCGGGACCCTGTTTCCTAGCTTATTGGCTGAACTGTGCCAAGCCCTGCAGACAAGCCTGCCAGCTGATCCTTGCTCATTGCCACCCCCCAGTCCATACCTGAACTCTCCTATGCACAGGGCGGCCACAGAGGTACCCCCACTGAGCAGCGCTAGAAGTCTTCTAACGTGGGGAAGTCCCTGTCGCTTTATTCTCCCAGATACTTGCATAACTCGCCCCTCCCCTCCTTCCAATCTTCACCGGCATTTAACCTTCTCTGCGTGTCTTTCTCTGACAAGCTTATTTACAGTCACGACCCAGCCCTTTCCCGCCAGCACTCCTTATCCCTTCTGTGATTTATTTTTCTCCTTAGCACTTTTTTTTTTTTGCGGTACGCGGGCCTCTCACTGTTGTGGCCTCTCCCGTTGCGGAGCACAGGCTCCGGACGCGCAGGCTCGGCG